GATAGTTACTAATTTGGTAGTCATTAATTTACATGTAATGGTCCATTAAGTATACAAATTGATTTTGGCAAAGAATGAATGACATGCACTATGGTCTATATAAAGTGTGGTTGGAAACTACATGTAAGTTCCTTAAAATTAATAATGTGGTTAGCAATGGAAGGCAACTTTACTTTTACTGGTGAGTTCAGTGGTCCAGCAGTAGCAGCAGTTCTTACTGTTGAGATGATACTAGCTCTGATAGCTAATGGTGTGGTACTATCTATCACACTCTATCAAAGGAAGTCCTTGAAACAATCATCAACAATATTCTTCACTTCTCTCATACTGGCACATCTTGTATCGAATTTACTAAACCTTCCTTTCGCTATCATTGCATTAGCTGCTGGTGAGTGGATCTTTGGTAGTACAGATGAGGAGAAGAGAGGGACATGTATTTTTGCTGCCTTTATACTTTGGTTTGGAGCTTCTTTTATCTCAATGACACTAGCTGCTATATCATTTGATCGGTTTCTCTTTATCATCAAACCACATCTTCACAAGCGGTTCATGAGACCCTGGGTAGCACTGACCCTCACCATTGCTATATGGATACTGTCTACTGTATTATGTGCTTTACCATTCATTGATATTGGACACTACAGCTATCATGATGATTTAGGTATATGTACTATAGATGGTGTTGACATTGCTTTCTTTGTTGTAATTCTTGTTTCAATTTTTCTCATTGTTGGAACAATTTTTGTCACTTCTCTTTGGACCTTTTGTTTCACTAGAAGCTACTTCAAGGATCAGTCAGTGATAGCAGGAGAGAGTGTGTATGCCTTTAAAAAGAAGAGACTCATTGGAGTATTTGGAAGCATGCTACTCATCTATGGGATATCGCATTTACTTGTAGCTTTATGGGTCCTTCTGCAGATCTTTATTCTTCTACCTTCTGAATTTTCTGTGACAAGCTATATTGTTTATTTCTTTGTTACAATAGCCAGTCCTATTATCCAGTCATACTTCAGGCCTGAGATCAAGAGTGTTCTAGTCTCACGCTGTCCTCTTCTCTTTACTTGTGTTTGCTGTTCATGTGTGCATGCTGTTTGCTGATGTCAATTATTTATAGTATATGTTTAATTTGCTTAAGAATTTTGAGTTATATCTATTGTTGCTATTTTTATTATTAATTCCTCTTTGTATGTAACTTATTCCCTTATATCATTTTCATTGTTATTTTGAGATTGGTCTACTGCTATTAGTATCTTTATAAAGGATATACCTGTTGCTTCAAGTCCTGTATACACTTCTTACTTGCTTTATACACTTTTGCAAAGAGAATTTGTGACAATTTTGAGTGCTTGTCTCTGAAATGGAAGGCAACTTTACTTTTACTGGTCAGTTCAGTGGTCCAGCAGTAGCAGCAGTTCTTACTTTTGAGATGATACTAGCTCTGATAGCTAATGGTTTGGTACTTTCTATCACACTCTATCAAAGGAAGTCCTTGAAACAATCATCAACAATATTCTTCACTTCTCTCATACTGGCACATCTTGTATTGAATCTACTGTACCTTCCTTTCACTATCATTGCATTAGCTGCTGGTGAGTGGATCTTTGGTAATACAGATGAGGAGAAGATAGCAACATGTACTTTTACTGCTTTTCTATATTCATATACCATACGCATCATATTTATGACACTAGCTGCTATATCCTTTGATCGGTTTCTCTTTATTGTTAAACCATATCTTCACAAGTGGTTCATGAGACCCTGGGTAGCACTGACCCTCACCATTGCTATATGGATACTGTCTGCTGTATTGAGCTCTGCTCCATTCTATGGATTAAATGAATATGTTTATGATGATCAGCTCCTTTTATGTTACCAGCGTCCTAACAGCACGATCAGTTTCATCTTTTATGTTTTATTTCCATGTGTTACAACTGCAATTATCATTGTGACATCATTATGGACCTTTTGTTTCGCTGGAAGCTTCTTCAAGGATCAGTCAGTGATAGCAGGAGAGAGTGTGTATGCCTCAAAAAAGAAGAGACTCTTTGGAGTATTTGGGAGCATGCTATTCATCTATGGGATATGTATTGTGCCTGGTCTTGTTTTACGTTCTTTGCAGGAATTTATTGATGTACCTCCTAAACTTAGTATTTCTAGTATGACATGTTTCCTTTTTATCACAATAGCCAGTCCTATTATTCAGTCATACTTTAGGCCTGAGATTAAGAGTGTTCTTGCTTCACGCTGTCCTCTTCTCTTTACTTGTGCATGCTGTAAATTCATTCATTAATATGTGGTTGTAGCAATTAATATTGTACACTAGTTTTTGTATACCTCGGGTTCTCTTAGTTATTAATCTATTGATTTTTGTTTGTCGTGTAACTATTTCTGTTTCTTTTCATATTACACAATTGTGACATCATCTATTGTGGATACTGTAGTCCTGCTTTGCCTATTCCACTAAGTCTGACCACACGTATGGGATTTTCCATTACATTACACTCGATCACCAAATAAGTAGTGATACTACTATCAATATGGATAATCTGTTGCCATTGTAAATAATAGCCTTTGTAAATAATAGTGCCATGTATTAGATATAAGCAAGTTTTGTAGTTATTTCGAGAAATAAAGACACTGTATAGGGATGGCAAAGAACTTTACTTTTACTGGTGAGTTCAGTGGTCCAGCAGTAGCAGCAGTTCTTACTGTTGAGATGATACTAGCTCTGATAGCTAATGGTGTGGTATTATCTATCACACTCTGTCAAAGGAAGTCCTTGAAACAACCATCAACAATATTCTTCACTTCTCTCATACTGTCACATCTTGTATTTAATCTACTGTACCTTCCTTTCACTATCATTGCATTAGCTGCTGGTGAGTGGATCTTTGGTAGTACAGATGAAGAGAAGACAGCAACATGTACTTTTACTGCTTTTATATATTCATATACCATACCTGTCATTTTTATGACACTAGCTGCTATATCCTTTGATCGGTTTCTCTTTATTGTCAAGCCACATCTTCACAAGCGGTTCATGAGACCCTGGGTAGCACTGACCCTCACCATTGCTATATGGATACTGTCTGCTGTATTGAGCTCTACTCCATTCTATGGATTAAATGAATATGTTTATGATGATCAGTACCTGATGTGTTACCAGCGTCCCAACAACATAATCAGTCTCATCATCTTTTATGTTT